AAAAAAAAAAAAAAGACAAAGTACTAAACAGTGTGTACAGTGTACTATCTTTTTTATGGAGAAAGGAATCTTTCATTGTACATTTCACATCTATTTATAATGTTTTTATTTATAAATCATGGGAATATACTAGCTATTCAAGAATTAAGACATTACACATAGTTAAATTTTACAAAACTAAAATGTGAGTTTTCCTCAAATATTTCATAGAAAATGCTTTACAGAAGCAACTGCTCTTATATGTGAAGTGTTACTTCAAGGCTTCTAATAAACAAATAATAAGAGTAATTATTATTGCTATTATTTGGCAATCATCAAGCCATTCTAATGTTTAATTTCAGTCTTGTCTGAGTTTACAAACATTTAGAAGCTGCCTTTTTGTGCCATTCTAGTCAGTTTGGTTTCTTGTGTTGTTATTGTTGTCGTTTTGAGGGCTTTGTTTTTATTATTTTATTTCGTTTTGGTGTTTTTCTTTGCTCATTTTTTTGTGTGTATCTGTTTTGCCTTTCTCAGCATAAACTCCTTTTAATTCCAATCTTTGAAACTGCTCCAAATGTTCTTCTCTTCCCTTATCATAGTACCTCATATACCAAACTTAGCACATTTTGAAATTACACAATTTATGTGATTATTCTATTTTTGTTTTTCATGCTAACAGATTGTAAGCTTCATGAAGGTTGAGATGATCTAATTGTTCAACGTATACTGTGCTGTATCCCCAAATCTCAGTGTGATGCTATAACTTCACAGACTCATGAATTACACTCAATAAATATTTTTCATATTGAATAAATTGTACAGTACAAAGCATCCAAATTCTACATTAATACAGTATAATCAGAAATAGTAACTAATAAATATTTGCACTAATGAGAGCACCCCAGTTCTTAGAACATAGGAAGCTGTGCTGAAAATGCTAAAGACTCTACTACAACCATCCACTTGTTCCCAAATTGTTTTATCCCCCATGAAATGTGGATGGACTTCATATTGATTTTTGTCCAATATATCTACTCTCTAACTCTCTGTGAACTGCACTCACAGTGGCAGCTTGTCTTAGGGGCATTAGCTTGCTCCTCTTGTCTCCATTAGCTTTCCTCACTCTACAGCCACTTCAAATAAACCTACAATCAATGCACTAAATCACTTTCTAAGCAAATTTACCTAAGGTTGGACTTCCGTGTGAATTGCTGCTCTTAATCTTTTCCTATAGTAAATTCTAGAGTTCACATCTACACTCATCTTTGTGTCTAGCCAAAAGAAATTTTAAAGTACATTAAAAATCAAAATGACAAGAATTCCTGGCTATTCTAAAAACACGTCATTGAACTAAAATCCTTTTCCAAAATAAATGTGTTCATGCAGTTACAGTAGTTTCTTGCAAACTGATATGGAATATACTTGTCCCATTTCCTCCAGTTCCTATTTTCCATTTAACGAATCTTTTTTATGGTGCTTTCTTTCCACAGTTCTGCCTGATCCCTAGACGTCACTGCTAGATTCTTTTCTGGTATAAGCTGCCTATACATTAATCTTTGAAAATATAATCTTATACTCCTTATTTGGCTTAGAGAAAGTATAATAAAAAAGCAAAAGAGTAGATTCTGAAAACAAACCATGATTACCATAGAATGAGAGTTTTGAAAATGACAATTTGCTTTTTTTAAAAAAATTTTCTCATGAATATCAAGACCTTTCTGATTTTTGAGCATCTCATTGGCCATGTCATCAGTGGAAGAAAATGATGGCACAGTTTATTCTTCTGTGAAATCAAAGCCCTCTTCCAGGGGATAATCTGGCTTTACTTGCATGTAGCTGAAGAGCATCTGGGAACTTTTTCACGCTGCTTGAGTTTTCTCTAAAATCCAGTCCACATACTCCACCACATTGGTGTAAACACCAGGCCGCTCTCTTTGAGCACAGCCTTCTCCCCAACTCGTGATACCCACCAAATGCCAGACCTCCTCATGTTTACAGGACAGGGGGCCCCCAGAATCTCCCTAGGAGAAAAGAAAAGGCACACAGTCAGATCCTTTTCATCCTAAATGCATTTTGGACAGAGAGATTTCACCTAACATTCTGTCTTGGCCCGGGGTCTTGAAAACTTTCACATGGCCATCTAAGATACAACAATTGGTCTCCTCTCATCTGGAGCAAAGAAGAGTGAAGAAAATCAAAGTCATCTGGAAACAATTAATCCAAAGATATGATAGACCATGATGACTGAAGACTTCATGACTCCAAGATCAAAAGACCTAGATGGCTACCAATGCCAACTACTTGGATCAAAATTGGAGATCCTGGTTAGAGGGGGAAGAAAAATGCAGAACAAAATTAAAAAACACAAAAATGACCAGAATTACTGGTCAGATACAGACTGGTGAAACGCCTGAGACTATTGCCCCAGGTTATCCTTTAGGCCTAGAAGTGGACTCACTTCCATAGATTCACTCTGAGCTAAGCAGTAGAAAGACCTACTCCAGGGAGATACACCTACCTACCCTAGGAAGATGCAACCCTTAGATCAACCAGCCATGAGACATCAGAAGGGCAACATTCACACAGAGGGAAAGCTGGACAGACAGGAACGTATGGATAAGAAGAGCACAGGACGGGGGTAGTCCCAGGGAGGAGAGGGGAGGAGAGTTTTTTTATGGTTAGGGATGGTAATCAGGGTCATGAAATCAAATGTGCATGAACTGTTGAAAGTAAAACAAATCTGCTTTGTAAATTTGCACACAAATAACAATATAAATAAATAAATAACTTGTGAATATATAACTAAATAAGAATAAAATAAAATTGTCTTGGATTTTTAATAAACTTCAAAGACCTGGATTGGCTGCTTCTTCTGCAGTCTATTCCCGTTAGGGAGTTCCTGGGTGGTACAAATACACTCAGCTGCTAACCAAAAGTTTAGAGGTTTAAGTCCACCCAGAGACACCTACGAAGAGAGACCTGATGATCTTCTTTCAAAAAAATCAGCCACTGAAAAGCCTACAGTGCATAGTTCAGTTGTGGAATACGTGGGGTTGCCATGAGTCAGAATCCATTTGACAGCAACTACATTTACTTTCGATCTCAGTGCATGTAAAACAACATATACTGTGCTGCCTATTCATGAGCAGAAGATTGCTTTTAAAATGTATTAAACATCTCAATTTCAATATATTCAATTGGTTAAGAACACTCTATTACCTTACAAGCATCTCTCCCTCCTTCTTTATAGCCGGCACAGATCATTTTATTGGTTATTTTGTGCTCTCTGTATCTTGTCTGGCATTCTGCATTTGTTACCAAGGGAATTTTAGCTTTCTGGAGAGTATTCTGTATTTTGTCTGAGGGAAAAAAAAATTATATATATATAATTTTTGGTTTATTAATGGAATAACTTCTTTTTATACATACACATGCATGTACATGTATTTATATATATAGTCACATATCTGTATACAATCTAAAAAGAAAAATATTAGATTTACCCATGGAACCTTTATGATAATTACAGAGTATACAGAAGATATTTTTACTACCATCAGTCATACCATTTTGTTAACATTAATTGAATTCAAAATTAATTTTAGTTCTAACTGGAATGACTTTCTAGAAAAAAATTGGATAATAATCTAGGACATTTACTGAAAAGGGCTAAGTTTAACATTAAATTTCATTTAAAATTATTAGTCTTTAAGAGATTTGGTTAAGTGGTCGAAGCACTTGGCTGCTAACCAAAAGGGTGGCAGTTTGAACCCAGCAGTTGCTCCATGTAAGAAAGATACATCAGACTTCTTTCATAAAAGATTTACAGTCTTGGAAATCCCATAAGAAGGTTCTATTCTGTCCTATACAGTAGATATGAGTCAGAATCAACTCAATGGCAGTTGGTTTGGTTTTTGGTCTTAAAGAGATATAGATTCATATTTAAGATTTCCAGTCAAACAGACATGCTATTATCCTCACCTGGGGGATTTTTTTCCTTCTAGCTTTATGAATAGATTTTCTGTAATTGAATAATGCTGTTTTACTGACATTTTGCTAAATGAGTTGATACAGTAGGAATGTTATGAATAAAATACATTCTTATCTTTAGGATAAATCATATATTAAATCATCATTTTTTTTACCTCTTAATTTTGTGTACCCCCATCCAGTCACCCAGCAATTAGTATATATCACATTTCTGTCACTTTTTGGAGGTAGACATATGGGTCGTTGAGAATCTAAATTTTAAAAATTACAGTTTAATTATCAGAAGCAAAATATATCTTCTTTTCCAAGAGAGACTCTTGTCTTTCAACTTATATTATTTAGTGTTTTCTCTATTTTTATACTCAGTTTTTGTTTCATTGTCATATATTTCCATCCCTTCTGTACAGTATTTTGTATAATACATCACAAGGCTAAGGGAAAAGAGAGAGCTAAGTCAAACCCCTCCTCACCAACTTCGTCACTCTAACCAGTTTATGACCCTGAACAAGTTACTTAGTGTGACCTTCAATTCTCTCATACCTAAAAGGGAAGCATTAGACTTAATCATCTTTAATATTACAATAGATAACTAAATTGTGTCATTCTGTGTATCTGCAGAATCTTAGATAAAACTTTTTCTCTCTTCTCCCACACCCTCATAATAAGATCCAATAACCAAGAAAGGTCAGTCATAACATATTGAAAAACTAGCTCTGCAGACTCTTTCCCTTTCACAGTAACAGGAAAAGAGATTGGTAAAGTTCGGCTATGAATCTCATAGTGTTCAACATTATATCTAGGTCATTATTGGGTATAAGTTTTCCAGTTAAATTTCTACATACCAGTATAATGCATTGTTGTTTCGAGTTTCAACAAGGCAATATCATACCCACTTTCTGCCATTTCATATTGATCATGAATTATTATTTCTTGAACCCCAAAGAAAGGTGTATCATCCTTTATTTCTGATTGATTTAAAATCCCACTATAGACACGCAAAATTTTAGGTGACTCTAACCTAAAGAGCAAACAATAGAAGAAATGAAATTTTCTTTACCAGAATCATTCCCAGATGTTTTGAGTGACATAATTATTTAATGGGCTATTGCAAAATATCTAATATATGAGCTTTTAATAGAAAAAAGTAATTTCATGCTATTTTTCACTCAAATATTCCTCCTAGCTAGGAGCTCCTGGGTTAGTCTTTATCTTACATTAAATATATAAAGTGAATGAATGCTTTTTCCACTCTCCATAATACCCACCCACTCCCACACACATACTCACACACACACATACACAAAGAGCCCTGAGTTCTAGTCTCAACCCTGTCATTGTGGCCCTAAGAAATTAAATTGGACTTCTTGTTCCTCCATTTTCCCATTATTACAGTAAAGGGGACTATTGATCTAAATTTATCTTTGAGGTTGGTGACTCTGAATCATAATTAGAGGAATCATACTGACAGAACACTGATAGGAAACAAAAACAAAGAAAATGGTGTTTAAAAATAAATCAGAAGATACTAAAGTAGAAAAGAGTAAGTTGGTCAACTAAAATTCCCTGGAATACTTAAACACACTCACCAGCTGGAGTTTTTGTTGTTATTGTTGTTTGATTAGTACTCAATTTAAGAAGCTCTGATGGTGTAGTGGTTAAGGCATTTGGCTGCTAACCAAAAGGTGGGTGGTTTGAACCTACCAGCCATTCTGTGGAAGAAAGATGAGGCTGTCTGTTTCCATAAAGATCTACTATACCCTTGAAAACACAATTGGGATCACTATGGTCAAAATCAACTCAATGGCAGTGAGTTTTGTTTTTGAGAGCACTGAATTTAGAGACCATCTGAAGCATAGGTTTGACACATTGAATACCAATGACCAAAGATCAGATGAGTTGTGGGATGACATCAAGAACACCATACATGAAGAAAACAAATGGTCATCAAGTCATTAGAAAAACAGGAATGGAAGAAAAGGCCAAAAAGGATATAGAAGAGACTCTGAAACTTACTCTTGAACAGATAGTAGCTAAAGCCAAATGAAGATGTAATAGAGCTGAACAGAAAATTTCAAAAGACAGCTACAGAAGACGATGTACTATAATGAAATGTGCAAAGACATGGAATTAGAAATCCAAAAGAGAAGAACAATGGTGAAAGGATATAACCCTGACACATACCTTTACTGATTTTAAACCTTTTGGTTAGCAGTCAAATACCTTAGGCACTGTGCCAACAGAGCTCCTCACTCAACTGTATAGATCATAACAATTTATGGATAACATTATGAAGAATGGGAATTCCAGAACACTTAGTTGTGCTCATGAGGAACCAGTACATAGACCAAGAGGCAGCAGTCTGAATTGGAATTTCTCCCATTGAATGAACTGAAGAAAAAATTTAAGCCTTGACTTGCAATACTGAAAGATCCTATGGGCAAAATATTGAACAATGCAGGAAGTATCAAAAGTAGAGGGAAGGAATACACAGAGTCACTGTACCAAAAAGAATTGGTCAACATACAATCATTTTAGGAGATTGTATATGATCAAGAACTGATGGTAGTAAAGGAAGAAATCCAACTACACTGAAGGCATTGGTGAAAAACTAGGCTCAAAGAATAGTGGAATACCCTTTGAGATGATTCAACAAATGAATGCAGCACTGGAGGCGTTTATTTGTTTATGCCAAGAAATTTGGAAGACAGCTACCTAGCCAACCAACTGCAAGAGGTTCATATTTGTGCCCATTCCATAAAAAGGTTATCCAACAGAATGCAGAAATTGTCTAACAGTGTCATTAATATCACATGAAAGTAAAATTTTGCTGAAGGTAATTCAAAAATAGTTGCAGCAGTACATGAACAGGGAACTGCCAGAAATTCAAGTTGGATCTGGAAGAGGATGGGTAATGAGACATGTTCCTTTTCTCATGTCATTGTTGATGTCAGATAGATCTTGGCTGAAAGCAAAGAATACCAGCAAGATATTTACTTGTGTTTTATTGACTATGCAAAGGCATTAAACTGTATACAAAAAAAATCAAACACACTGCCATCGAGTCAATTGTGACTCATAGCAATCCCTATTGGGTTTCCAAGGTGGGAAATCTTTATGGAAGTAGATTATCTCATCTACCTTCTGTGGAGTGGCTAGTGGGTTTGAACTGCCAACCTTTTGGTTAGCAGTCAAATACCTTAGGTACTGTGCCACCAGAGCTCCTTATTCAACTACTTGGATCATAACCATTTAGGGGTAACATTATGAAGAATGGAAATTCCCAAACAGTTGTGCTCATGAGGAACCTGTACATAGACCAAGAGGAAGACATCTGAACTGGTTTAAAATCAGTAAAGGTAGGTGTCAAGGTTGTACCCTTTCACCATACTTATTCAATCTATATGCTGAGCAAATAATCAGAGAAACCGGACTGTATGAAGACGAATGTGGAATCAGGATTAAAGAAAGACTCATTAACAACCTATAATATGCAGATGACACAACCTTGTTTGCTGAGAGTATAGATTACTTGAAGAATTTACTGATGAAGTACAAAAAGCCTTCAGTGTGGGTTACACCTCAACCTAAATATAACAAAAATCCTCACAACTAGACCATAAGCAACATTTGATAAATGGAGGGAAAAAAATTGAAGTTGTCAAGGATTTCATTTTACTTGGATTCCATGGATGCAGCAGCCAAGAAATCAGATGACATATTGTACTTGGAAAATCTGCTGCAAAAGACCCTTTTACAGTGTTGAAGATCAGATGTCACTTTTGAAGACTAAGGTGTGCCTGACCCAAGCCATTGTATATTCAGTAGCTTCATATGGAAAGTTGGACAATGAATAAGGAAGACTGAAGAAGAATTGATGCATTTCAATTGTAGTTTTGGCAAAGAATACTGAAAATACCATGGACTACTAGTTGTTGTTGTTGTTGTTATTTGCCATGGAGTCAGCCCCGACTCATAGAGACCCCTCCTTGGGTTTCCGAGGCAGTATACCGCCAGCCTTCTGGTTAGCAGTCAAGTGCCATAGGCACTATGCTACCAGAGCTCCTAGAGGGGAAAAATAAATCTTTCTTAGAAGGAGTACAACTGGAATGCTCCTTAGAAGCAAGAATGGCCAAGTTATGTTATGTTATGAGAAAAGACCAGTCCAGTCCTTGGAGAAGGATTTGCTTGGTAAAGTAGAGAGGTCAATGAAAAAGGGGACAACATTCAATTGAGATCTATTAACACATTGGCTACAAGGATGGGCTCAAGTATAGTAAAAATTGTGAGGATGGCACAAGAGCAGACATTGTTTCCTTCTGTTGTACTTAGGGTTGCCGGAAGTTGGAGCTGACTCAATATCAACAGTATTGAAATTGAACTAAGTAGGAAATTTAATTTGAGGATGCATAATGTACTCTTTAGGAGCTCTGGTAGCATAGTGGCTAAAGCACTTGACTGCTAATCAGAAGGCTGGCGGTTCAAACCCACCAGCCACTCCTCGGAAGGAAGGTTGGGCAATCCTACTTCCGTAGTGATACTGCCTCAGAAACCCAAG